TATATATATATATATACACACACACAATTACTAAAACTTTACAATTAAAATGAAAACAGAAAATATATATTTTTTTAAATGGATTCAAACTATTAATGAAAACTATAATATTATTTCAGTGATACCAAAGTAACACTGGTTTATTTTTAGTCCATTTGTCATAATTATATTCTGTCCTTATAGTGTCCAATTGCTAAGCTGAATAAATTCATAAAGATTAAGATATAATTACTTTACCATGTTCCTTTCATCAGATCACAAATGTCGTTCTGTGCATTTCCATGAAGACTTTTCTTGGTTTATTAGTTTTGTAAGAAACAAATAGATAAATCTACATTATTCTGCTGTCAGTTAAAACACACATAGTAATTAATTCAGCGAGTGTTACAATCAGTGTATCTGTCAGGTAATAATTCAACATGCTTCTTCTCTTTTCTTTCCAAGAAGCATATCGAGAAATTAATTAGGTTTTGAGAAAGAAACAATGACAATCTAATAATGAAATAACACTTTTTTGTAAGTGTATTATTTGATGAAATATTCAGAAAGTCAAGTATTAAAAATAAATATGCAGCAAGAGTCAAAACAGCATCAGCAATTGAGATGGTTCCAAACAAGGATGTGAGCAGCGCTTGTGTTTTTTTAGTGCTATCATGCCATGTTTGTTTGTCTGTGTCTGTGATATTGCTCACGTCACCAGGCCACATGCTCTCACAAGCACGCAGACAAACCGTCCCGCCCCGTCTGTGTACTTTTCCCACATTCTCCATATCTACACAGATTTCAAAATACTTCTGAAAAGCCACTTTTTATTGTTGTTTTCATAGTTTTGCACTACAAATCATGTCAGAATATGTACTGTAATATGGGCAGAACTACTGTGGTTGAATTTGTATGCATTTATTGCAGGGTTTTGTAGTTAATTACAACTGAAACTAAAATTAAAACCATTGAAAAGACATTTTGATTACTTGAAATAAAATAAGCATTAGCTGAAATAGAATAAGGTTTTGTAAGAAACAAATAGATAAATCTACATTATTCTGCTGTCAGTTAAAACACACATAGTAATTAATTCAGCGAGTGCTACAATCAGTGTATCTGTCAGGTAATAATTCAACATGCTTCTTCTCTTTTCTTTCCAAGAAGCATATCGAGAAATTAATTAGGTTTTGAGAAAGAAACAATGACAATCTAATAATGAAATAACTCACAGTCTCACAGACGTAATTACCACAAGACCCAGACTAGACAAAACATGTGTCTCGTCGTCTTATTTTATTTCCCCTCTCTGAAGCGGCAGATTATTTTAATTTTGACATTCTCAGCCGTCGCCCGTCGTGCAGAGTCACTTGTATTTTCCTCATCGGCTCTCTCGCTCCTGATTATGTAGATGTCTGACTTCAAAGAGCTTGCGTATGTGGTAGATAACGGCTTGGAAACCAGTTGACCTTCAGGTTATACAATCACACAGACACCCACATTCACAAAACACGTTATAGTCACATTTAATAGGTGAGAACCTTTGGAAAAGGCGTTTGATTCGACCACCAAATCTTTTTCTTGTCATGTGGAATTCTCTTACAGAATTTCACAAACTTCTGCTGCTGTCAGGATGCCTGTGCTGTTCATACAGAGATGAGATATGAAGTCATTAGCTCGTCAAAGTAACACCAGGCCATTTGGCGCAGACTTTCACAGCAACTCCGAGCTCCAAGTACAAATTAACAAGGAAAAGACACTCAAAAGCTGTGTCTGCAAATGTTTACACCCCAAATCTGTCAGGAACGCATGCTGCGTAATATGTGTGTGTGTGTGTTGTTTGGAGGCCGATGGAGTGTAGTGTATCCTCAGCATTGCCCTGTTTCGTGTGTAATTGCATTCCTCTCCTAATAGAGACCAGATCCAGCTCAGAGAGGAAGCACATACAGAGCGCTACTACAAGGCTCGTTTCATGCAATATTTAGTCTTAGTGGTTGAAAATATGATTTGCATCTGTTTATGTTGTTTCTTTAATCTCCGTCTCTCTCTCTCTCTTTGTGTCCAATCACATCAGACTTTGCCTCAGGCTCTGTCAGAAAGACACTTGATACATCGGAGTGTTTTGCTTCTGTACAGTGTCATTCTCCTTCCGTTTTCATTCAAACAGTATCTCTTTTCTTTTCCTAAACCTGAAGTGAACCTGGACTTTGTGACCTTACATATATAATCAAAGCATGTAATATGCCCCAAAGTAGTATGGTGACGTTAGCAGTTGTAGCCGGGGAAACCAGTCTGACTGTAGCTGAAATACTGCTGAAAATGAATGTGGTTATTAATTATTTATTTATTATTATTTTTTACCATTATGAGTGAATCTCTGGAAAATTGAGAATGGCCAAGTGATATTTCAACTCCAAAATATATATTTTTTTATGTCATTTTATAGTTTTATAATACATATTTTTATTATATATAATA